GGCTGGGGATTCGAACCCGCCACCTTAGGTGTATGTGGCTGGCGCCTTAGCCGCTTCGAACCTTTGAATTAGTTTTTGACCACATCTCAGTTGACTTTCAGCTGATTAAAAGCTGAAGGCTGACATAGATATTCAATCATTAATTTTTTTTTTTTACTGCCTAGGGGTCAAAGGGAATGTCCAGGGAAATCTCTTCAAAGTGATTACTAAGGATGACAAGCACTACTACATCCAGGCCAGCAGCAAGGCTGAGCGAGCTGAGTGGATTGAAGCTATAAAAAAGTTAACATGACAAGGACCTGGAGGAACCAGACCAGGATTCCCTCCTACCAGGTGATAACAGACAGGACTTCCTGAAAAAATGGGAGTGTTCTAAGATTTGTCTTTGTACATTTTGTACTGCTTTGGAATGAGACAGTTGAAGAATTCCTCAGATTACAAACGGCAGCGGTGCCATTTCCTTCCCCATCTTCATGTTACCAACCTGGAGAGACTAGAACAGCCATTGAGCATCTTGATGTCTGCACATCATCAAAAACAGCCATTTTCTTGAGCACCAAAGTAGGTTCCCTTTGTTGGAACTCTTAACACCGGCCATACTGTAATATTCAGTGAAACTCTATTTTCATGTGGCTTTCTCTGAAAGAGTATCAACTTTGAACTGCTTTGTAACTAATAAAAATTGACATTTGTTTGTGTCAACTTTGAACTGCTTTGTAATTAATAAAAATTGACATTTGTTTCTACTGTTTTATAGTTTTTAAGAAACATTTTAAGTATTTCTGCCACTAAGACATATAGGACTTTCACATTGTAGGAAAGAAGTCATGGATTCAGTTGGAGAAATTAGTCACACATGTTAAAAAAAAAAGGTAAAAATATGGCTTTCCTATGAAAAATGGGCATTTAGAAAGAGAAAGACAGAGAAAGATAAGTGAGAAAGAACTAAATCAAGGCACAAAATTTTGGTTTTAACATGAACTAAGACAAATAGGTACCAGAAAACACCACCAATTAGGTTAATCTGTAGTAGTGAAAAATCTGTATCATACAATATTTTTAAAGAATATTTTTATTACTTTCAAGTTTATACAGTAATCTGGCACAGGCTATTGCCAGCATTCTTGCCAAGTGTAAGTACTTGGACTTCTTTTAATGAATAGATAAAATACATAACTTACATTTAAGGGAAATGGATACTTCCAAAGTGCTTAAGTAAAAATGAATCCTCTTAAATAAACTATCTCCTGTTAATCTCATCTAGAATGCCTGACCTGAATGATCAGGAACTCCAAGCTAATATTTCACTTACACCTTATATTCAGAGACCACCTTTTAAAGCACCGCTTTTCATTTGGCATTTGACCAGGGTCTAATGTCCCTGGAAATATATATATATTTTTGCTTTTTGAGTATTAACAGGTATTTATCTGAATTACACTGCATTTAGTTTGATGATTTTCTACCTCTTAAATAGTTGCAAATGTGCCTTACTTTGGGAGATACCAGGATCTCCATGGGTTAGAAAGTAGAAGACCATCACCTTGAGGCAAATCAGTGAACAAGTCTTGGCAAGGTACTGACATTTTCATCTTTAAAAATTAGCCAGGTGCAGTGGCTCAGGCACCTTGGGATGCCAAGGCAGGATTGCTTAAGCCCCCAGCGTTCTGGCCTGGGTGAGAGCGAGACCCTGTCTCTATTAAAAAAAACCCTAGCCACTTTGTTCATGGTGTAGAGTGGCTAGGTCAGGGATGGTTGTATTATGGCGGCTGGGTAATAGCTTGTTCTGCTTAGTGTGATGCAGAGCTTAGCATGTCTCTGTAGCTCTGTGTTCAAACATTATCTACATAAGAACTGGTTTCTTGTTTTGCTATAAAACTGGCATGAAAAATGGTTTAAATGTTCCTATTTTCTCTTAGCCATTACTTTTTAACTTATACAAAAATGAGATTTAAACTATTGCTAATTTTCATTTGAGTTGTTAACTATTTGACCTCAGTAACAGGCTGAGTGGGGAGATGAAACTGCCAACATTTTTAAGAAAAAGGCTTTGATGAGAGATCCAGTGGATAAGCTGTTCAATTCTTTGTTAACAATCCTATTTCTCAAGTTGCTCAGAACTGGATGTGTATCTTGTCCTCGTATGTAAACCATCCCTGCTGACTTTCGGTCAGCAAGATGTTAATATGTGTGCTTTAAGTTCCTCATGACGTCTGAAATAGCTATCTTCACTCTGGCTATCAATTTATGAAATTATCATGAAGCTGAGCAAAAGGCCCACATGAGTAAAAATCACTCACCATTGAGGCCACCAGTATTTCTGAAGTTATGGCTTCTGAACTATAAAAATTTCAGTAAACAAAAAAAAGAAAAAAATTCTACATAGAGCATAGGAGCACCTGTTGTATTTTGATGACATTGTTGATGGCGAGCTTTAAACTTTGATATCTCAAAACACTTAAGTGAAAACTATGTGCCATCTTGAGTACATTCAGATTCTTTAAATATTCCTAATGTGGCATGCTGGCTAACAGTCATGGCTCCCTCTTGGAAATTGGCCATCCAAAGTTAGACTTTTGGATTTAAAAAAGCTAATATGGGCTACTAAATTATTTTATTTTTTGAGACAGTCACACTCTGTTGCCCTTGGTAGAGTGCTGTGGCGTCACAGCTCACAGTAACCTCAGACTCTTGGGCTCAAGTGATCCTCTTGCCTCAGTTTTTCATTTTTAGTAGAGAGGGGGGGTCTCACTCTTGCTTAGGCTGGTCTCAAACTCCTGAGCTCAAGCAATCCACTCACCTTGGCCTCCCAGAGTGTTAGGGTTACACGCATGTGGCCCTGCGCCTGACCTGGGCTACTAAATTAAACAAAGGACAAACCTTAATAAATGGTACAAACTATCTTCCCAACACTCTTCTATTTGATAGTCCCTTTAATATTAAGTCTTGTCCTGGAGGACTAAAGTGGGTTAGGTTTAATCATTTTAAGTATTTTAATAGCTATCCTAGGGATAATGAATAAAACTAAATATAACTGGTACCTCAAGTATCGTAAGAGTATGAAAACCAGTGCAAAGTAGTAAGACTTCCATACTTGACTACTGCATCTGTAACTTCAAATGTGTTACCTATAAACTTATTATGTATAAAATAACTAATTCTTGAAGATAAAAATTATGGGAATATGTTAAAAAAAAAAAAAGAAAAAAACACTACTATAGCTGTGTCCAAATAGAACCCTGTTCTATTGTAAAGAGAACTGAAGCTCTAAGTGGCACTTAGTGAATATTTTGATGGGAAAAAAAGAAAAAATCTCAAGTTGGGTGATACTAAAAATATCTAAATCAAAGAAGTGGTATCTTTCAGTCTCAAATAGGTTAAAAGGCACACCAACAATCTAATTCTTTAATTGCATTTTAAGGCTTTGCCCTCCCTAAGGGCCAGCTTTCACTGTGGCTAAAGATAAAATTACTTTCCTAAACTATTTTTCTTTCTAAACTCTCCTTTTGAAAGGATCTATTGTAGAGATCCTTTATTCACCTCCCCTTAAAGACTAAAATACAGGTAATAGAATTAGGGTCATTAGTATTCAGAAAGCTTTTTTAACTGGTGACGAGAAGGAAGAAGCCTATAGTTAAATATCCCAGAAATTTATTTGATATTTGCTTGAGTACAGTTTATATAGAAAGATTGGGACTGTTTGCTTTGGGTGCCCCTGATGAATCTCATAGAGGCACTGAACTACAAAGGGGTGTCAATCTGGAGACATCAGAAATGGAAATCACAAGCCCAATTTTAGGACTGCTCTTAAAGATTTGCCTCTAGTGAAATTAGGCCACTCTCTTAAAAATTGTTCAATGTGTTGGAGCTACTGTGTGAAAACAGCTGACGTTTCAGAGAGCATTTCATGTTCTGGTCTGTTAAAGGATTTAAATACTTGGAAATAAAAAATATTTAGCTTTGAAGTTTTCAATACTGGAAAACTTTCAAGTCTAGGGTTTTCAGCCAGAAGGGGCTGCTCTGTGTTCCTTAAATTGGACTCTGTTTCCCACAAGGTTAATCTTCGGCTTTGGCTTCCATTTCTTCTGCATCATCATCTCCATCTACTTCAGCATTTTCTCTTTCAAGCCTCTCCAGCTGCCTGGCAAGTTCAGTCTCATCTGTATCTGTGACCACTTTGGGCTATGGAAACAGAGGCATAATTTCAAAGCAAAGTAGTTATATTGTAATACAAATTCAATTTCAATACGTACCTAGTATTTCAATCATGCCTAGTATTAATTTTTTTCCTAGTATTTTAATTTTAAAGCTTAAAAGAAACACTTTTAATTCTAACAACTGTGCTGTATCTGTTCACTTTTGAGTGCTGACTTATCACTGACAAATCCATTAGATAAGCAATAGAAGAAACATACAAGAACAAGAGTACAGGAAGATGTTATGTATTAAAATGAAAAATAATTTTCTGTCACCTTTATCAGGTAAAAATTACAATGTATACACTATTAGCAGTGGCTATATCTTTTAAGATCACAAATAGATACCTGGTAAAAAAACATATCTTCTGGGCTTAAAATAAATTACTACTCTTTTCCACAGAAGGACCTATATATAGATGAGGTTTTGTTCTGGTTAAGATAAAGAAAAGACAACCAACTACTTGTTTCTAATTCTGAGGTCAAATTTTAGGCATTCCACATTACAATTATGATAAAAATAATTTTTTCCTTTTTACTGTCTACATTTCCTCTGGAGGGGGGAGAAAACACAAAAGACCCCAACACCATCCAGTGACCATGGGCCTGAATAACCATTCCACAGGATGACATTCTAGTGCCAACTCTTATCTACACGATAAGTCAATGATTATTTTATGCCAAGCAGATTTGTAATCCTAAATGTATCTGATGTTTTAAAAGGCAGTGATCAGTCAGTACTTTTGAATACAAATCACTTAGATGACTTAAGTTTTTTTTTTAATTAAATGTTAGCTGTGTACATGGGTACAGTGTGGTGTTTTCATATACAATTTGAAATATTTTCATCAAACTGGTTAACATAGCCTTTATGTCATTTTCTTAGTTATTGAGTTAAGATGTTTATATTCTACTTTTTAGAAAGATTCACTTGTACCCTTGAAACATAAACCATAGAGGTGATCCCTCCAATCACCCTCCCTCCACCCATCCACCCCCCATGACTAAAGTTTCTTAAAAACTTTAAGAACAAAGTAAAAATGAGACTATTTATCTCACCTCCATTTGAACATTGAACACACCCCTCTTTTCCTCAATCTTTTCTTTGATAACGGCCATAGCTTGATTGAGAACAGAAAGGCCTTCTGTTCTCTCCAGAGTTGTTGTAGTCATCACATACCTAGGAGGAGCTATTAGATTAATCTAGAAGAGAAGACAAAAATTCAATTATGAACATACCTATAGAATATATAACTATGGCTTGGAGCTTATAGCTCAACTGGCTAAGGCGCCAGCCATGTACACCTAAGGTGGTGGGTTCGAATCCCCAGCCCGGACCCGCCAAACAACAATGACGGCTGCAACCAAAAAATAGCCGGGTGTTGTGGCGGGCGCCTGTGGTCCCAGCTACTTGGGAGGCGGAGGCAAGAGACTCGCTTGAGCCCAGGAGTTGGAGGTTGCTGTGAGCTGTAATGCCACGGCACTCTACCCAGGGGGACAGCTTGAGGCTCTG